AGGTAAGCACCAAGAATATAAATACTCCAAAACCTGTCACCCACTATCACTAGCTTGGTGAATATCTTTGCAGATATACATACACGTTCACATGTGCACAACAGAGAGCATGTACCCATAACTCATACATACTGTTTTTCAAGCTGCTTCTCATCTAATAATATGACTGTTTTTTCCAAATCAATAAATATTTATCTAAGGATTACTTTTGATAGACAAATCGTATTTAAAGGAAACCCATTTTTCTACTCACAGCACTTCTGACTGCAAATGTTTGGGTTTTCCACACCAACGACCAATTCTCCACAACATCAACTGGGTGTCCTGGATTTTAATTCAACTCTGACACCACCCTATGTAGTGCAGACTTCTCAGGTTAGGGGCTCAGTCCCACAATACTGTTACCCACTTCAGATACCAATAGCAAGTAATGGGTCTCCAGGCTACCCACACTGTGTCTGATGTGACTACAAATCAAGGATCCCATGACCCTCTCCTCAAGTTTGATAATTTGCTATAATGGCTCACAGAACTCGGGGAAACACTTTGTTTACTTTTACCATTTTACTATAAAGAAAATTGTAAAGGATGCAAATGAAAAACCAGATGAAAAGTACACAGGGTGAGGTCTGTCCTCACAGAGTTGGAGTGCCCCCACCCTCCTGGCACAGGGATGCGTTCACCAACCTGAAAGCTGTCCGAACCTAGTCAGTTAGGATATGGAGGCTCCATTACATTAGTGGGCTTGATTAAATCATCGGTGGTTAGTGATTGGCTCGATCTCCAGTCCCTTTCCCCTCCCCAGAGGAAAATTATATCTGGTTTTGTTATTTTACTTCTTTTTCACCTAAATAGGTAAATAAGCATTTTTTTCACATGCTTATAAATCATTTTCCTCTGTCTTGTTCATTTCTTTTACTGTATTGTTTTCTTAGTAATTTGTAATAAGTTCATATACAAAGGACAGCAACCCTGTTGTAAATGTTCTGTTTTATCTTTTAATTGACATTAAATGCCTAAAAAGGCTTCTCCAGTTCTAGATTTTATAAACATATATATTGGTGGAATCTCACTCTTCCTCACTCCCTGCCCACACCCCTGCTGCACTGATCTTTGTGATTACATGTGCATGCATTGAAAACCCCACCAGATATGATTGGCTTTTTGCCTTAAACAATCATTAAGTATTTTAAAGGAATTCAGAGAGGAAAATGTATTTATTTACCCAACCATTTATCATTTCTGTTTTTCTATTATTCTTGATGTTCCAGGTTACCTTCTGGTACCATTTCCCATCAACCTGAAGAACTTCTTTTAAAATGTCTTCTGGAGGAAGTCTATTGCCAATGAATTCCTTTGATTTTCCTTCACATGAAAATGTAGTTTGCCTTCATTCATAAAGGATGTTTTTGCTGGATATAGAATTTTAAAAAGGTTTTTTTGCTGCTCCAATCTTTTTCCATCTGTACCTCCAATTAATTACAGGTTAGATCCACAGATCCCCGAGGTTCTATGCATTTTATTGTAATCTTTTTCCCTTGCTTCTTCAAATTGGATAATTTCTATTGATCTATCTTCAAATTCACTGATTTTTTTTTCTGTCATCTTCATTCTGCGAATAGCCCAGGGAGCTTTTTGTTATTATACTTTGCAATTCTACAATTTCCATTTGGTTATTTTTCTATGGTTTCTATTTCTGTCCTGGGAATTTCTATTTCAATGTGTTTTCTATTACCTCATGGAACATAGTTATATCACTGCTTTAAAGTCTTTGACAGTACTGGCATCTGAGTCATCTCCAAGGGGGCACCTGTTGAATATCTTTTCTCTTGAGAGTTAAGTTTTCCTGATCCTTTGTATGTTGAGCACTTTGAGATTATATCCTGGATGTTGTGCATGTTATATCATATAGACTCTGTGTCTTGTTATAATCTTCTGAAGAATGTTGTTGTTTGGTGTTAGCAGGCAGTCAGGCCAGTTATAAGTTCTGTCTCACAGTGCCTGGGCTAGTTACGTTCTCTAAGCCTTTGTTATGCTGTTTTGGGGCTCTCCTGCACATACATAGTTTAGGGATTAGTCTGAGACTTTTATTGGTTTTTCAAATCTCAGGCAGTTCTCTAAGCCTTTACTTGTTTCTGGTTTTTCCCATGCATGTTTTATTCAGGGGTTAATCCTGAGACTTGGGCCAGTGATTCAAATTTTAGTTCAGTTCTCTAAGCCTTTGCTATGTTGGTTTGGGTCTAACCTGAGCATGCATATTTAGGTGTTAGGCTGAGACTTGTGAAGTTTATGCATAGAATTAGGGGATCCTCTTCTGTAGCTCTCTCTCCATATTTCTCCTGCATTCGCCATGTTTTCTCAGAATTATCAACTATTAGTTCCATCCAGATTCTGTTAGTCAATGATCTAATAAGTTATACTGACTACATAATAAGGCTAGCTATAATTAAGAGACTGAACCACCCTGAGCAACATAGCGAGATCCCATCTCTACAAAAAATAAAAAATTCCAAGTGTGATGGCACATGCCTGTAGGCCCAGGTACTTGGGAGGCTGAGACAGGAGGATCCCTTGTGCCCAGGATACTGAGTTTGCAGTGAGCTGTGATGACGCCACCACACTATCCTGGGCAACAGAGCAAGACTCTGTCGCAGACAAATAAAAAAAGAGAGACTGAAGACTAAAAATCTAATTTTACTAAAATTTGTTGTGAACCTATTATATAACACTGTACTGGGTAAGGGGTGTGGAAATATGAATTACGCATGGGCCTTCTCGTAAATAAACTTTAGTCAGATAAGGTAATATAGTGTGATAAGTAATATAGAATCACATGTAATAAGCACATTTGCTCAGCAAATATTCACTGTGTACTAAGAGCCAGGCACTGCTCTGGACACTGAGAATATAATGATGAACAAGACAGGCGTACAGGAATAAATTTAAGAAAACAATTGAATTAGTCTGTGGAGGGGTATTTTAAGTATTGGGAAATCAACTGAAAAAAAGTTATGTTTTAGAAATATTCTGATTAACTACGTGGTTTTCTGTCATCTGTAGCTTAGTGCTATGTTGCTTTATAACTGTCTTTGGCAGAATTATTAATAGTATATCAATTCTCTCTTGGTATCTAAAATATAATGAACTCCAAGGTTGAATATTGAATTTGGTTTGGATCCAATCTACATTAACCCTACAAGATCAATAAAACTTCACATTCTTAACAAAAGCAGCAGAGTGTACAAGTGAGCTTTATGGTGATTTTTCAATAATCAATACCCTGTTTTTAACACTTTATAAGTTTAACTTAATGCTAGTTTTAAACATAGATTAACTTAAGTTAGTCCCATTCGTGAAAGAAAAAGGAATGGTATCATTAAAAACTAAATTATATATTCATCTTGAATACATTAATTTCTTTTGGAGCTCTTTTTGTACTATCACGGTAACCCTTAGAGTTAACTATCGAGTTTCTCCTTTGGATATTGGCTTAAACATAAGATTTGAGTACTATTATTCATTTTTACTATGTTTCAGAAAAAATAGGTATCATTTTAAAATTCTGTTGATTTAATCACAAAAATATTCATAGTACTTTAAAGTTGGATTTACTAAATCAGAATAAATTAAATGAATGGCTTTGTATAAAAGAATTTGTTTCAATTATTATTGCTGTATAATAAGCCATCCCAAAACTCAATGGCTTGAAGCCACAATCATTTATATTTATTTGTTTGTGATTTTGCAATCTGGACTGGACTTAGCTGACTAGTGCTTCTGCTGGTCTCTTCTGGGGTCCCTCATGCAGCTGCAGTTGTCTAGAGATTTGACTAGAGCTGGAGGGACCAAAAAGGCTTGACTCCTGTATCAGCATCTCAGCTAGCAAGGGGCTAGCTGAGCCTCTTTTTTTCCGTGTGTCCTCTCACCTTTCAGTAGTCTAGCATTGATCATTTCCCTAATAAAACACACATTATTTTATTAGCCTTTTTATCTTTATTGTTATGTTGTTTCTGTGGGAAAAAGCCAAATTATATTATTTTTACTTAAAAATTGTGACCTGCCATAAGTTTAAGAGGTATCTGGTCTTTGAAATGGTTTCTCATTAGCCATGTTTAAAAAGACAATAATAATTCTTATGTTATATAATTAGTTTAATAAATATTTATATTCTTTTTTTTAAAAAACAGGCAATTGCTGGCTACTTTGATATATATTTTGAGAAGAACTGCCACAACAGGGTAAGTATCATGAGTTATCTCATAAGAATTAATTATGCAGAAGTACATTATGTTTTATTTTTGTACTCCAAGGTGTTTGATCATAAGCAATTTGCTGTTGTAAGCAATTGGGGCTTGTATTTGATGTAGTAGATTAATGTACCATGATATTAAAAATTTTGTACTTCATCAAATACTTTTGAACTTTATCAATGCAGGTCGTCTTCTCTACGGGCCCCCAGAGTACCAAAACGCACTGGAAACAAACAGTATTTCTATTGGAAAAGCCATTTTCAGTTAAAGCAGGTGAGCAAGAACAGTAGAAGGGGAAACTATCCTATTTATTCTGAAGTAAGCTATTTTCATTCATTTTATAGGTCATTAAATATGAAATGTCCAATTTCAAATCAAAAGTGTAGTGTATCATATCTCAAGAAGCAGTACAATTAATCAAAGTATGTGCCTAAACTGTCGACCGAGTTTTGCCATCTTAACAGTAGCTTGTTTATGCCAGTAATGAAGAAGCCTGGAGAACGAGTGGTGATGAAATCGCCAAAGGCATTTTCCACAACTTGTTGAGAATTGAATATTTTTCCTTGCAAGAAATAGTCCAAAGCCTGGAAGAAGTGGTGGTCAGTTGGTTCAAGGACTGGTGAATATAGTGAGTGACAGAGTTTCCAAGTTCAGCCTCTGTAGTTTGAGCAGCGTTGTGTGTGCAACATGTGGTCGAACGTTGTCTTGCAAGAGGATTGGCCTGTCTCTATTGACCAATCTTGGCTGCTTAATTGCAAGCGTCCTCATCATTTCATCTAATTAGTAGCAGTAGACATCCGCTGTAATTGATTGACCAGGTTTCATGAAGCTGTAGTGGGTAACACCAGCACTAGAGCACTAAACAGACACTGTTAACTTTTTATGATGAATATTCGGTTTTGGACTCTGTTTCGGCACTTCGTCTTCATCTAACCATTGTGCTGAATGCTTGTGATTGTCAAAAAGAATCCATTTTCATCACACATAACAATACAGTGTAGAAGTGGTTGGCTTTTATGTCATGATAGCAAAGAAAGGGAAGCTATGAGACGATTTCTTTTCTGATTGTTTAATTCATGTGGTACCCATCTATCCAGCTGCTTTGCCTTGCCAATTTGTTTGAAATGGTCCAATATTGTTGGAATAGTAACATCAAACCTTGCTGCTAATTCATGAGTAGGTTGAGATGGATTTACTTCCACTACAGCTTTCAGCTCATCATTTTCCACCTTGGTCTCAGGGTCACCCACATGGCTCATTTTCAAGATTAAAATCACCAGAGTGGAACTTCTCAAACCATCAACATACTGTGCATTCATTAGCCACATCTTTCCTAAACACTTTGTTGATATTTCAAACTGTCTGCACTGTCTTGGTTCCACAATGGAACTCGTATTCAAAAATAACAGGAATTTGTGACTTACCCACCGTTTTACAAAAATTGCTCTAGAAAAAAGTTTGAAAGATAATCGCAAGCCAGGTCATGCGTTTGAAAAACAGAGAATATACTTTCACAATAAACATAAAACAAGAAGTGTCAAAGTAAAATGTTTATGGATAACAACTGTCAAACTTAGTACTTAAGGAACTCGGGACATATCATACTTAACCACTTTTTTTTGTGTGTGTACTATATTTGAAGCAATATTAACAGATGCTAAGAAAAGATGTTCTTAAAACTTACCATTTAGATAAATTTTAGATAGCATATCATTTTATTAAAGATAATTTTAAAGGCCGGGCACAGTGGCTCACGCCTGTAATCCTAGCACTCTGAGAGGCTGAGGTAGGAGGATCCCTTAAGGTCAGGAGTTTGAGACCATCCTGAGCAAGAGTGAGACCCCATCTCTGCTAAAAATAGAAAAAATTAGCCAGGCATGGTGGCGTGCGCCTATAGTCCCAGCTACTCGGGAGGCAGAGGCAAGAGAATCACTTGAGCCTGGGAATTTGAAGTTGCTGTGAGCTATGATGACGCCAGTGTACTCTAGCCCGGGCAATAGAGCAAAACTCTGCCCCCCACCCCCAAAAAAAAAGATAAATTAAGAATTTTTTATTTAAATATAATTTCTGCCAATTAAAATGAATGGGGAATGTTACGTAGCTCCTAAAGTACCACAGAGTAATTCAGAAAACTTTAGGCAGTAACTAGCATTTAGTAACTTGCAAATATAACTAAAACATTTTCATTCCCAAAGTGACTAAAGAGAAATATCACCAATAGAAGTATAAATTAAAGAGAGTATCATTTGATAGTTACTGTATTCAGAATATATTTGTCAGAATTCTCTCCGCTGTCTTCTCTCCACCTGTTCACATCTTACATACTGTTTAAGGGCTGGTCAGATTCTGCATTCCTTTGTTTTAACCTCATTGATTGTTTACTTACATTAGTTATTAGAGTTCTTATGTACCTCCACATTTAGAAAGTTAGGATTTGATTATGGAATCTTTTTTAAACTATTTACTGCAGTTCAAATAAACTTGTCCCACCTTCACTGAAGGAGCCTCCTGAGGGCAGGAAAGCTGAATATACAACAAGCATCAATGAAAAAAAAAACCATCATTACTAGAAACTCAGGGAAAGGCTAACTGAAACCATGAAATGCTCTTTCTCATCCTTCAGTTTTGGGGAGAAATACATAAAGATTAGCAATGCCAAGTGCTGGCAGTAATGTAGCCAAGTGGAACTTTCATATTCTTTTTCTGGTTATTTTAATTGGTAAAATTTTAGATTGATACCATCAAGTTAAATATGGATATCAAGCAATTTTTTTCCCTAGGCATGTATTCTCAGTGTCTCCCACCACAATGTATACAGAAATGTTCATAATGGTATGGTTTGTAGCAGTGAAAAACTGGAAACAAACTTAATATCCATCAGCAGAAGGTGGATAAATATGGTAGCTGCATAGAATGAAATCTCTAGAGCAGATAAGTTATATATGTATGTGTCTATCAAAAGCAACATTGAGCAAAAAGAAAGCTGCAGAATGACTCCTACAATATAGCATTTATATAAAGGTTAAAAACATGTGAAACAACCATGCATACAGATACATAGTAGAAGTATGAAGCAGCGCTTAAGAATGATAACCACTAGATTCAGCATAGTGGTTACTTCTGAGGAAGGATAGAAATAGGATTGAGGCAGGCTACAAAAAGGGTTCCATGTCATGTGAAAAACATAAAAAAAAAGAATTCCTTTATAGTTCTAGAAGGAACTATAGCAGAATATTAATACATTGACTGCTACAGTAGAAAAAAAATTTTTTTCCCTGGGGCCGTGGTAGTTTTTTACAAAAATAGAATAAAAACGTCAAAAACAAAATGATCCTTTCTAACTTAATGAAAAATTTAATGAAAAACAAAGTTTATTGACTTCTATTCATTTAATCCACATTTTTAGAATTTGTCAGTATTAATCGTAACAATAAGAATATCACCAAGTAAGATTTTCACAAACCAGCTGCAGGGTTTTGACCAGGTTTTGCTTCACAAGGCCCTGAGATCAAAACTATTGTAAGTAAACTACAACTCACATGGCAGTTAATTTGTTAAAATTTGACAAAGCTGAGTGGTGGGCTCCAGATGGTCATATTAACCTCTATATGTTTAAAATATTACACAAAATCCTAATACAGCTTTGATTTTACTGTTAATGCATAAACTGAATAGATGCAAATAAACATCACTAAAGTAGAGCATTGTCATTTTCTCACTTTGAAATTGCAAGTGCTATGGAAATAAAACCTTGATGTTGTCATTTTCTCTGTCTCCAGAAAGCTTCAACACAGCAAAACTGAAGTGAGGCAAACACAAGTGAAGTCCTTTTAAATCCTCATTTTTTTGTTTGTTTTGTTTTTGAGTACCTCTGGTATTTGGATTGATGTTTGGAGTCTTGAAAATGTTGCTTTCTTCTTCATTGTAACCGTTTGCCATCTTAATGCTAGAATTTTAAAGGCAGTACTTAATAGTTCATGTTTTAATCTTGAGGGTGATTTAAGACAGCATTTGAGTTTGGTGATACCCAAAATTTTCTCCTACATAATTACAACAAAATATTGTTTAAAGACTAGTGACATTTTGAAATCCTAAGTGTTCTTTACCTAGTATTCCTTAGAGTAATTGGTTCATAGTTTGCTCTTAGGCTTTTTTGAATACTGTGAAGGAGGTTTGACTCAAATGTTGCCTCTGGCACTACCTGTATTTCTTCTACTGCCACGGTGTGTGCACTTGTGTTTAAATAGTAAGACCAGTACATCACACAATATTAGAATCCCCTTAAAGATCACAACCTGAAGATTTGAAAGGAAGATTTCAAAGTAAGAAAAATATACTCATTTCTTAGCTGTGGGAATATAAAGAAAGGACCGTGTAAGTAAATAACACTGTTTTCTACCTTGCCAAGCCTCTAATGGTGGTGCTAATGAATAGATGCTAGAAGTTTCAGGCCAGAGTACTGAAGAGGACAAGCTAATCAGAAAAAGATCTCAAAAAATCTACATAGGAAGTCCCCTTGAGTTTTATATGCGTACTAAGATGCGTGTAGGTCAGACAAAGGAGCTGGGACAACTATGTACTGAACAATTCTCAGAGATCACACAGGGCTGCAAGGTATTCAAGTTTCAAACACCTAGAGTGCAGAATTCTTTAGTATTCAGGTAGAGATTCCAGAAGGACCATGCCTTCTTAGTAGGAATAAACTATCCCTAGAGTAAGGCTTATCTGGATGCTCCTTAACAAAACTTAAAAACAAGCCTTGAAAGGAAAAAAACTAAAGCACAAGTAACTTAGTGACAACAAAGGAAAACAAAACTCAGACATTCAGCAACATAAAATTCTTAGTGTCCAGCATTCAGTCAAACACTGAGGACAGGAAAGTATCAGTTGATAGATCAGACCCGGAATAGATGGAATTAGCAGACAAACATGTTAAAGCAAATGTCAGACTAAGTTTATGTGTATATAGTGAGGAGACTGAGAAGATTTAAAATGCAAATGAGACTTCTAGAGATGGAAGTTACAATATCTGAAATGAAAATATCATTGGATGGAATTAATGGCAGATCAGTGCACTTGAAGATACAGCAATAAAATGTACCCAAAATGAAGCACAGAGAGGAAAAAAAAAGATTTTTAAAAAGACGCATCTACAGTAACCTGTGAAAATGTCAAGCACTCCATCCTAACTATAATAATAGTTGTTCTTGGCAAAAAGCTGGGAGAGGAAAGGAGGTAAGGAGAGAGGGCAGGGACAGAAAATATGTTTGATAACATAATGACCAAAATATTCTTACATTTGATAAAAACTATAATCCACAGACTGAAGAAACTCAGTGGCCCATGGCAGTCTGACCATCATTTTTCGTCATTTCCAACCCTACCCTTTCACAACCCCAGATAAGCCCCCATGTTCCAGCTATAGAGATTGCTCATTTGTAAAGCTAACTTTCTCGTCCTTTTTTTTCCCCTCCTTGCTTCTGTCCAAGATATTCTTCTACCTAGAAAGCTATTTTTGACCTCTTGCACTTGATGAATTCCAACTTGCCTTTTATGGCCCCACTCATTTCTGTAAATTTTTCTTCATTGTCCTCAGAAAGTTAATTGCTCCTTTCTTTGTTCTCCCAGATAAATTCATGCATACATCTGTGTCATAACATTTTAGTATGCTGTGATAAAGAGTTCCAATAGAAAGTGAATCATCTGCCTTCTTTTATTCCTTCTTGATCTGATATAGTAGTTGGCATATTATACATATATTCTGCTGAATAAATAAATAAGTACAATAACATATATTGTCATTGAAATCCAGCCAACAGCATTTAGTTAGTTGCTAGATTTTGGTAGGCCCATTTTACCAACTCTGACATTCTCAAAAAATGTCATCATACTTGAGCAGAGTGGTGTTCAGATTTATCTTGGCATAGGTGAAAAGAGTTCTCTGTAGTTGTGTTTAATCTAAAAGTTTTTGACTCGTTGTACTATATACTATGTACTTTTAGATAAAATTAAAACTGGAAGTCTAGTTGGGAAAATTTACTGTGTATGTAATGCTTTAGTGTCCAAAAGGCAATAAGATTTGTTTTAATAAGTAAAACATTGTAAACATAATTATACAGTTACTTGGCCTAGATTGGTTGTATATGTAAATATCTTCAGTAATGGGAAGTCTTTTTTGGTAATGGTAAATCTGTCCTTGACGGTAGACTTGATATTTAGAAAACAGGAAGACAATGTGAATAGAGACTTTCTCAGACTGAGAATTTGCCTAAAATAATAAGAATTTGACCATGTTACATTTGGCTAAAAGTAATCTGGAACTATAAAATAATGAGCCTAGTTTTGGGGTTTGTTTGTTGTTTTTTGTTGTTGCTTTTATTCACAACCTAGTCCTAAAAATAGTTCCAGAATAAGTAAACATTTGATTACCTCAAACATTGTGAGAATAAAGGACCAGCCTCCCAGGATGTGTATTTTAAAGGAGTTAGAGAACACTTTAAATTCAGGCCTGTGGTCTCAGCTACTCAGGAGGCTGGGGCATGAGGAGAACATGGAGCCCAGGAGTTCAAGTCTAGCTTGAACAACACAGCAAGACCCTGTCTCCTTAAAAAAAAATTTTTTTAATAAATAAATTCAGGGGGGGTTTCCCCCTTTAAAAATAATGCACAATTTTATTATACGCAAACTTATAGAGCAGTTTTTACTTGAAAAATTCAAATATATTTTCATGTGATTTGGCTGTGAAAATACAAGATTAGGCTGTTTGTTTTCTCTTTATGTTATAGTACATAGTAAGCTTTTTATATGATAAAGAATCTGGGGGTATTTTTTTTTCTTTCATTTTTTAACTTATAATAGCGATAATAATGATTTGTTGTGTTTTTCTTTTCCCCTTCTGGGGAAGTGAAATTTATTAGTCTGGAATAAATTAATTCTAGAAAACACACTCTAGCAGAATTGAAATGAAATCAATTTTGTTCTTGACTGAACTGCAGTACTGCTTTGTGGTATACTAATAGCCCTCCGTCGAAGATAAAAACAAGTTGGTACAGCTCCGCTCCATAGAGTGTTCTTTGCAGCTGTAACCATGGTATACACATTTAACAACATCAGTCATTTAATATCTGTTTGACACTGATTAATTACTGTGACCCGTTCTGGTATTATAGCCACTGCCTTGGCACTTTAGTTAGGCTGAACAATTGAAGAGAGTTTAGCAGTGTGAATTATATATTTATTACTATGACCCTTCATGCTATTTAATTAACTTAAAGGAGCGTGGGTGCACCCTTTTGAAATCTTTGAAATTAAGATTATGTAAAAGATATTTTAACTGTATTTTATTTTGAGACATGAAAATAACGGTATCAGATTATATAAGGCAATTATGTACTTTTAATTTTTTAGATGTTTTATTTAATATTGATACTGAAAATTTTTTCTTTTGTGAAAATTTAACAGAAATATCCATTACTAATTCATTTTGACTGTGGCTGTGTTTCTTAATTGAGGAATATATAGAACTCATAGGTATATCCTTTGAAGCTGAAATGGAGAATTTGATAACCTAGTTTATAAGCACCATAGAACATTTCCATTTTTACTCTTACACTAAAGGTTGAATAGAACATTTACAAAAGAGCCAACTGTAATTTTCAGTTCCTCAAAATGCCATTCCCGAAGGCTCTCTGTACATGTTTTCTCTCCTTCAAATGCCGTTACATGTACACTCCTCAAGCCTGATTAACCGTTACTTTAGCCCTGGCTAACTGATTAATTCTTGTGCTACCTTGCCTTTTACTGCCTTCCAACCATCCCCAGTTCTCACCTCCAGCACACTTTAAACACATGCCTGTTGTGTAATCGTTGGTAGAGCTTTTTCTCTTCACCCTCGAACATGAACTCTCTGGGGGCAGGGACCATGTCTTTATTTTTTTCGAGACACCCAGAACCTACAATAGTCTTATATTCAGAAGTCCAGTAAAACTGCATCCTCAAACCTACATGACCGCTAGATCTACTCACTCTTTCATGGAGTCAGTTCCTGCTTCATTCAGAAATTAATGGAACATAAAGCTGCTCTAAAAACCTAAGACTATTAACTGAAAAAGTAATTTAAAAGTTCAGTAATGACATGTCACTACAAAGGAAGTGTCTAGGTATAATTTACTTTTCTGCTAGACTGTATCCCTTGAATTCCTAATCACATTTTTTTGCCTTTTACAGGTGAAGCCTTGAAAGGAAAGATCACAGTTTACAAGAATAAGAAAGATCCACGTTCTCTCACTGTGATCCTCACATTGAATAATTCAACTCAAACTTACTTTCTCCAGTGAAAAAGCCACAAAAGCACAACTAACTTGCAATTTTGAATGTGGGAATAGCGTGGGCCAGCGGGAGGGAGCAGGCTTTATGTGAGCAAATGGATGATGGATTGGATCCTTTCCTAGTGAATCCTTGATAAGAGAGAAGCACGTGGAAATCTGATGTGGTTCACCCGCAGAAGGGAACCAGCTGATCCTCCCGGTCTACCTGCGTAATCATATTCCTGGAAGTCTGCTCAGACAGATTTAACCAACCCCTACACTGAGTTTAGCTATATTGAAAATAATTTAAATTGGTCTATATTTGAAACAGATTATCTTTTGTTTTTAATAAGTTTCTTACTATAAATTTTAAACAGTAGTAATTGATTAGGTATTTGGCTAATGTTTTATTACACTAGTAACAAAAGGTAGTATACATTTTATTGAAGATTCCTCTCTGAGGAGTAGTATTTAATGTATTCTTTGCTAGAATATCAGGATATAATAAAGAGCAAGTGTAAGGGACTAAAATACAGAAGGAAGCATCAGCCTTCTCATACAAATCATGTGTGAGGACAGCTTCGTTGATCGACCTATCTAGCATACCTAGAGTTCTCATTTTGTAGTTCCTTCCCTCTTTGTGAACATTCTTTAGCCATATAGATTTCTAGTATTGCCCAGGAAATCTAATTTCAATACCTTTATCCTATGTTTTGTAAAAATTTTTAGAGCTTGGGATAAATATGTACTTATTTACTATTACCTTTTTCAAACTAGATTTGTGTGCAGAGGTTAAACATGTAACGGTTAATATACTTTATCATTCTGTAAAGTTGTGTCATTTTTAATTATTGATTCAATTTAAAATGCAAAATGAAAAACCATCAATAAAATGTATCAAACAACTCTTAGCATTATAAAATATTTCAGCATACTAAGGCTTTTTGAAAAATCAGAAGCATTTAAAACAAGTCCCTTGACAAAAGGAATCATTTTTGAGAAAATAAGGATTTTAAGGAGAGGTAGGCCACATGCCTCTGCTGGTTTTTTCTTTGTCAAAATGAGACATGCACGGGGCAGCTCAGCATAATGTTCAGAAGGGTAAGCTATAGAGTAGGCGCCTGGGCTCAAACCCTGGCTTCAGCTGTTACTTGCTGTATGATCTTAGTCACTTTCCTTAACCCTTCTCTCCTTCCATGAACATGCCAATTTATGAGTTAATACATTTCAAGTATTCAGATCAGTGCCTAGCACATAGAAAACATTCAGTAAATGTTGGGTGATAGTATCATCATCATCATCATCATCATACATTCAAGAACCAAAGGCTATATAGGGCATCTACATTAGATCAGTTTAAGAATTGTCAGTCTCGTCAGATAGTAATTATTACCCTAGCTCATGAATGAATGAGGAAATTAATATTTAAAATGGCAAAATCTGTATCAAAAAAATTTCTTTTGGTCTTCATTAGAAAACTGGACTTACAGCAATGGGGGAAGGGGACTGAAAACCTTTAAATGATGATCTTAATTAAGACTGTTAAGTCTTTATTCTTCCTTCATAAGCATGATTTCTGTTGTCACTGGGTTAAACCAGCCAGCTCGTTTTCACCATGGATTTGGATTCAGACCATTACTAGAAATGAGCAACACTGATAATACAGTTGAAAGTACTTTAAATTTTGTCTTGAATGGCTTCTGTACAAATTTGAGTATGTTAGGGTGATAAATAAGGAGGCCCAAAAGATTTAATGGGTTTTTTAAGAGACCAAAAACCATCAGATTTTTTGGTTTCTTTTTTGTGAGTGATAACAAATGTTTCCTACTCCTTAAAGAAGTATTTCTCTTCAAAACTCTTGTTTGGTTTTTTTTTTTTTTTTTTTTTTTTTTGAGACAGAGTCTCACTCTGTTGCCCGGGCTAGAGTGCCGTGGCGTCATCCTAGCTCACAGCAACCTCAAACTCCTGGGCTCAAGCAATCCTACTGCCTCAGCCTCCCGAGTAGCTGGGAATACAGGCATGCACCACCATGCCCGGCTAATTTTTTCTATATAGTTTTAGTTGTCCGATTAATTTCTTTCTATTTTTAGTAGATACGGGGTCTCGCTCTTGCTCAGGCTGGTTTCGAACTCCTGAGCTCAAACAATCCGCCCGCCTCGGCCTCCCAGAGAGCTAGGATTACAGGTGTGAGCCACCGTGCCCGGCCTCTTGTTTGGTTTTCATGGCTTTTCACCTGGTTACTCTTGATTCTGTTCTGGTTATAACTAGGCCAGCCATAGGTAGTGGGTCTCTGTTCTTCCCAGTTAGCCTTCCAGGGTCAGGACATTCTAATTTGTGTATCTGAGCATTTCCTGAGAACATGAGTGTCCAAATGCTAGCTCTCAATTATAATTTCTACCTTTAAACCACTGTGAAAAATAAATACTTCATAACCCTTGACAGTGACAAATACAGCGTCCTTGCGTGCTGTGGTAGATGAGCATTTATGGGTAACAATTTATTCCATCCCAGGGGTTTTATTTCCATTGAGAAAATACATTTTTATCCTATTTTCCTTTGTGAAAACTAGCGTTATTTTGTGGCAACGTGTGTGGTTCATCCAAGTATGATAGTCATCTTTATATAGAACAGCGTGTTCTGAAGAGAACACTTTGGGAGGAGTGTTCCCAAAAAACAGAACTCTATGGGGTATACACATTATACAAAGTGTCCACTAGGTAGGTAGCCACAACTGCTACAGACCACACTTTAAATCAGGAAGCTGTAGTTTAATTTTGAAATAATCCCTGTGTGGGGTGGGGAGGGGAGAGAATGCTGGTTCCCTGGAGTTGTTAGTTTGTTTAATCACTTAATCTAGATTAACCAATGTGGCCCAGCTGTGTCCTTTAGCATTCTACCTCTCTCACTTCTTAAAATGGAATATCTACGATGTGTTGTGTGAGGTTATCGATTTGAGATCAGTCCAAAGAGTATCACCAAACAAGCTATCAAGCATTCAACAGGAGAAATTAAAACAAGATGGTAAACCACTTAGCACCAGCTGGCCATGCCAGAAATTGTAATTTAAGCTGCTAGGCTGTAGCATATACCCAAAATGTCCAGGTATTCAGATTTTTCTGTGTAGCAGAATAACAAAAATATGTCAAGTTTGCAGCGCTGTCATAGAGTTTCAGCCACACTTTAAATCACTTGGGAAAATGGAAAATAGTTTACAAATGTCATCTACACTTGCTGTCTAAGAGAGACCAATTTGTGATGAAAGGCAAGATTGGTGAGAACCTGAGTCCAAGCACTGTCTAAGGCAGGGTTGAAAGACTACATCTGAGCCTTAAAGAAAGGGTTGCAATGATCTTACTAAGCTCTGGGTCTTTAAGAGTGCTCTGGACCCATATCTAACTGCCAACATTAGGAGAGACAGGGAACTTATCAGCAGTTTTTAACATGTCTTGGGACTCCTTAATGCCTTCCTGCTTGGATGTCACCATAGACTATGGCACTCCTGTTGTACTGATACAGTAGGGGGCCATGGTAAGAGATAAAAAGCTTTTTCACGATTTTGAATGTTTCCTTGCTATAAAGTTAGGGTAAACTTTTCCAAGTTTCCAAAATGATGAATAAGCTTAGCACTCATAAAATATCTAAGTAAGTAATTTGACCTTTCCAATAAAGTTTTTATATATTGTCTTAACATCTTGGCCAGCGTGGAGCAGTTCACATTCATTTAGTTGAGGTGTAGCTAAGTATACAGAAAAATGTTCTGTCACTGAGTTTGTTGTAATTATTTAAAAATGAAGGTAATCAATAATAGTCTAACAATTAGTAGAGGAGACAGTTAAGTAAACTATAGCACGTTCACTTCACGGAATATTGTGCATTCAGTAAAAATCAGTATCAAGTCCTCATAAGCTCATGATAAAAACTATTAGAGCAAGGTAACTCAGGGTTACACTAATTATTAATACAAGATAAAGCCTACATATGCTAAAATATCGAAACAAAATTTGTCAGTGATTGGATTATTTTTTCTTCTGTTAGCTAAACTTTGTGTAATTTTACAGAGCTTTGATAGGTTTTTTAAATATACTCTTAAAACTGAGTAGCTGAAATTGTTTTTGCAAAGTGTTGATATAAGAGGTCAATCCACCAGGCCACTCAGTCAGCTTAGAATGTGGAAGCCCAAGAACTCTGCATACTTCTGGCAAGATCTTACCCTCCCTCTCTGCCAGCAATCCCAGCCTTGAAACCACTGCTTTGGGACCGTCAGGACTGATTTCGTAATGCCCTTTATCCCTGTTCATGACAGTCACGCCAGCTCTCCCAGTTCATTCTGCATCCCCCATCTCTAATCTCCATGCAGGTCCGTTTATCTCCCTTTCCTGTCCAAAATCCTTGGCTCTCCTGCGGTCACAGCTTCCCCTGCAGCCCTCTTAGACAGTGACTGTCCGCTCCCACACCACTCATGTCCCAGAGCTGGATGTGAGGTGGGTGACTTCTTTGCCTTTGGTTGCCACTCATAGACCACTCCCTTCCCACCCCTCATTCCTACCTCCTTTACATCTTTAATCTCTTGTGATCAAGACTAACGCCACCACCTTACCTTGTCACTATCACCCCACCACCCCCAGGTCACTCACCCTCATTCCTTAAAAATGTTAGCACCTAACTTCTTGCCCACACTGCTCCTGCTCAGCTGATGAGTCGGTATCTCATATGGATGATTATACCCTGCCCTTTTGGTTCACTGACATGCATCCATCTTGCCCTCTGCCTCACCGCGCCACTTGTTCCTGTGGTCATCTACAATTGGCCATAACCCACAACCTCAACTCCTCCTGCTTAATCTCACTTTTAAGTATCATTCTGACTACCTACATTTTCAACTCGTTCTCTTCAGTATCACAATTCCACCAATCCTTCAACTGAAACCAAGCCCCAAATCCACTGATTCTTACCACATTTCCACTGTCCCTCACCTCTTCGTGTTTGCATTTCCCTCCTTGCCAAACTTAAAATCCGTAGTCCATATTATAAACACTCCTTTTCGTATAACTTCAACTCCATTGTCTCACTTTTCTGTAATTTTGGCTAAACTACAATCCTGCCTTAATCCAAATCCATAACTGTACCTGTGCAGCTCAATGAGGACAGATGGAAAAACTCAACCATGCTCATTGGTTTAGTCTTAAATTCATGATCTCTAGTTTCAAGTGGTTCACGTGTTATACAGAAATCACTCCTTTCCCTGGTCCATTCAGTCTCCCACTCTCCCCAATAACTCTCCTTCATCCTTCCCCTCAGCTAAAGTCTTCGTTTCCTATTTCACTGAGAAAATAGAGCCAATCAAAGGAGAACTTCCACAGGTTCTCATACCATGCTCCCTGCCAAGTTTTACGTCCTTCCCTTGCCTTCCCACCTGTGACTGTGGGGAAGCTTCCAGCACCTCTGGCAAAGACCAACCCCTCTCCCTCGATTTCTCAAAGATGTTGCTTCAGCATTCTCCCAGCCCCCTCCCCTGCTCCCCAAGTAGCACACAGATAAACAACCATTTCTCCTACCTTAAAAACATTTTCTCAACCTCACTTTCCCCTCCTGTTACTGCCATGTTTCCGGTTTTCCCCTTACACTGAAATCCCTCAAATACAGTTTGTGTTCACTCTCTTCTTGTTATTT